TTCATGTGTTGAATAACTCATGTATTATAGCAGATAAACAATTTAAAGTATCACAACAATGCTGTTAGTTCATCATATATTTTTGTGGCATACTGTCCTCTACTGGCCGTTCTTTCAGCACTAAGTTTATGTGTAGTATTGATTCTCAACCTATTTACATACATGGCCTACAATGTGTTATGTGAGCTGTATCCAGTACTACCTGTATGGCTCTGAGGATGACACATGGGACGCAGCACTGCACTGATTGGGCTGCAGGTGGCCCACAGGCTGCAAGTTATGAAGCACTAGTCTAAAGTTACTGAAATTACTAATTGAATGCTTAGTTCTCACTTTGAATGATTCTGACTTTAAAAAGAATCCCCAATACCACAAATGTCTTAGTACCAGCATAGAGTTTACAGCTGCAAGTAGTCCCACCAAACTCAATGCACAGTAAACATGCCATCTTTAAGTAACCCTTAGCATGCAGAAAGTCACAAAGCTGTAAGACTTTGCATATACCCGACCTTCAGAACACCTGAAGCGTGTGTGCTGAAGTTTATGTATACTTCTTTTATACTTAGGTAACTGTGCAGGGACCATCTCACCACGCTGTGTGTTTAGTGCCTAGAATAATGGCCTTGGTTAGGCTATTTAATTACTAAAAAAAATAGAGATAACAACATTAGTAAATGAGAGATTTCAATGGAGCTATGCGGATTATGCCCATAGTTCATTAAGAAAGGAGCTAAACACTGGCATGCAAACAACATGTGACAGGGAATACAAGTCACACCAAAGCAACAGGGGAGCTAACAGCTTCGCTGAGCCACTATACAAGGTGTGTGTGTGAGAGAGAGAGCAGCTCCCTACTCCTGGAAGGGGCGTGCCCTCAGGAGGAGGGGGTGGAGTTGGGACAGCCAGCACTCAGTGCCACCCAGACCATAGCGCACACTCCCCACTCAGCCTTCAGAGCCACCAGAAATGTACTGTGTCACACTGACCCAGCCCTTAAAATCACCCAGAGCACTCCTGTGGCGCTCCAGCTGTGATTTAAAGGACCCCGAGCAGCGACACCATGATGGTAGCTGGTAGCCCTAGGCTCTTTTGAGTCGCCAGGCCCCAGAGCAACTGACCTCTGATCGCCCCATGTCAGTGGGCCTGGAAAACACACTGGAGATTTAATGCTTAACCACTGTATAGTTACTCAAAACCTAGGTAATAACTTGTAACTTCTAATACCTACATATTAACAACTGCATTAACAATTCTAAGAATAAACACAAACAGAAATTTCCCATGCACATTTGTTTCAATCTAGATTACATGTACATGGACTATGTCCACTCTATTTTCATGTTGGTGAGGCTTCATGCCTTTCTCCATTATCAAATGCAGCAACTGTCTAGCTTTTGTCCTAAAAAAATATAATTTCATGAGCCAGTCAAGCTCTGGTGCTTATGATTAATAAGCACCTGAAATCTTTATGGTACGCATAGTTTGTTTGACTGGATGTCTCTCTGTATATGCAAAAAATTGCTTTCACAGATGAATACTCTGTCAATGGGTTTTAGAGCTATATTTACTGTATGTATAGTGCTTAGGTAGTATGTAAGTACTAGAGCAGCAGTTTTGTAACTTCCCCCACCCTTTTGCAAGTATGAATTAGTTTTCTTTCCTCCAAATACAACCAACATAGTATAAATAATACTTTGGTGTTATTGGGCATTAAATATAGCACCGCTACATGAAGCAAGGACAGTTCTGAGCTGAGGCTACGTCTATTCTACAAGGTTTTTGCGCAAGAAGTCTTTTGCAGAAGAGTTCTTGTGCAAAAACTTCTTGCGCAAAAGCACGTCCACACTGCATGGACGCTCTTGCACAAGAAAGCTTTGACGGCCATTAACAGAATGGCCATCAGAGTACCTGTGCTTTTTCGGCTAGGCTCTATTTGTTCAAGAAACCCCTGCGGAGCATCCACACATGCCTTTTTGCATAACAGCTGCAGCATAAAAAGGAGTTATGTCTCATAAAAGGAGGTTTACCGATGCCAGAAAAAGCCCTCTGATATGCTGTTTTACTGCCAATTTACTTGAGCAAAAGTGCATTTGAGGTTTGGACGCTCCACAGGTTTTTGCGCAAAAACGGCCATTTTTTTATGCAAAAACCTTGCAGTGTAGATGTAGCCTGAGGGTAGTTTAATTAAAACATATCTCATGGAGTAGCTAAGAAAATCTGTCTTTAGTTTTTAAAACGCCTTCCTAAAATCAAACACAAGATGCCCTAGAAGATGGAGAATTAGGTCACAGAACATTCCATTACCCCCCTGCCAACTGCTAATTAGAATTTCATATTTTCATTATGGACATGTAATAGCAACTGTCCCCTCAGAAAAATGAGTCCTTTGCTTGACATGGCACACACTGTTAAGTGAGAAGGGAGTATTGTCTCTGCTAGCTTGAATGTCTCAGCCCTATTCATTTATGATAGAAACTGAAGCAATTCCCTTAGCCAGCTTCCCTTTTTGTAGAGGATTTTTCAAAAGCATCCAAATGCCTTAGCAATACAAAATACAGGACTATGTAGCACTTTAAAGACTAACAAGATGGTTTATTAGATGATGAGCTTTCGTGGGCCAGACCCACTTCCTCAGATCAAATAGTGAAAGAAAATAGTCACAGCCATATATACCAAAGGATACAATTAAAAAAATGAACACATATGAAAAGGCAAATCACATTTCAGAACAGAAGGGGAATGCGGGGGGGGGGGGGGGGGGGGGGGGAGGGGGGAAGGAAGGTGAATGCCTGTGAGTTAATGATATTAGAGGTGGAAAAGGGTAGATGTCTGTGAGTTAATAGTATTAGAGGTGATAATTGGGGAAGCTATCTTTGTAATGGGTAAGATAGCTGGGGTCTTTGTTCAGCCCCCCCGCGGAGAGTGTCGAGACTAACACGGCTACATTTCTATCACTATTCTATTAGCAATACAAGTCTCCTCGATTTAGTAGATGGAAAGGTCCCAGGCTGAAATCCTTGATAATGAAATGTAATTGAGACCTATGTCCTCATAGATAAGAGCAAATACAATTAGGGTTGCATGGTCTACGTTAGTACTAACATTTTCTTATTTTGGGGTGACTGGCTTTGCAAATTACATGTTTTTCTATGTGGATTTTTTTTTAAGCAAAGTATAAGAATTCCTGAGGTTGAGCGCGTCTGACTTAGAACATACTAAGGGCAGGGATGCATCAATGAATTTGCAAGTGAGCAACAAATCTTTTCACTAGTATGTCAGTTTGAATCCAGCTCACTAGGGTGAAGATTAAGGTGCTACAGGACTCCTTGTTGCTTTTGCAGATCCAGACTAACATACTGTCCCTCTGATAGGGTATGGATTGTTTCTATCTAAATTCTAAAGGATGTTTGGGTGCCCTTATTGGGGATGAGTTTGGTGGGTCTCAGTGTCAGCTTATACATCACAATTCATCCCTACAATTGGGGCCAATTGCCATACAATGGCTAAGAGTGGCCAAGAACTGCCTGGGTTGTATAGACTAAATGCCTGCTTCAGGGTAGGGTGGGGACAGCAAACCTGTCTTGCAGATAGACAGCAAGATCCAGTCACCAACCCTGATTCAGCACAATTTTGTATGGGAGGACATTCATGATTATTTGGAAATTAGGTGTGACTATGCAAGTCAGCTCCTTCTGTAATTTAAATTTACATAATGCCACACTTGGAGCTACCCAAACATTGACAGTGCCTCCTACTCCCTCTGAACCGCCTTCCCACTCTGTCCTGACTCATTCCTAAATCCTTTGCAGCCATCCCATCAGTCTAAATGTATATAAAATGTATACAGAGTAAAAACATTAAAAACTATGAAAGTCACCTTTTAAGCTTAACTATAGAAGCCTGACAATAGCTTAGAAATGTCAGTCAGGCCAACCCCATGCCTAACTCCAATCTTTCTGTATTTCTGGGTGTGTCTAGAATACAGGTTTTTGTTTTTGTTTTTGTTTTAAAGTGGCCTTTTTTAAAAAAAACTTTCTCTGTGTCTAGACTGCTGCTGCGTTCTTTCGAAAGTAAATCGAAAGAACGCAGCAGTTTTTTCGACCACAGAAAACCTCGTTGTATGAGGAATAACGCCTTTTTTCAAAGTGCTCTTTTGAAAAAAGGCTCTATGTAATACAATCTGTGCTTTTTTGAAAGAGAGCTCTCTTTTGAAAAAGCGGCTTGCTTTTTCAAAAGTACTGGTTGTAGTCTAGATGCTTTTTTTCGAAAGAGGCTTTTTCAAAAGTATCTTTTGAAAAAGCTTCTTTCAAAAGAGGCTTGCAGTCTAGACTTAGCCAAACAAAGCTTAACAACAGGTGCATTTAAGTAATGAAGGGACAAATGAGGCTATGTCTACACTACACACTTATTTTGAAATAACTTATGTTATTATGTAATAACAGAGTGCGTGTCTAGCCTATGTCTGCACTACAAAGAAAAGTCGGAAAAAGATACACAAATTGCAAATCACAATTTGCGAATCTTTTTCTGCTTTTCTTCTGAAAAAGGCTTTTTCGACATTTGGCCCAGCTACACAGAGCCAAATGTCGGAAAAAACCCTCTTTCGGAACATCCCTTCTTCCTCATAAAATGAAGTTTACAAGAATGCCAAAAAATGTTTCTGCTTTTTGGAATTTTTTGGGGGAAAGCAGACACATTCTTTGGATGCAGCAGAGCTTTTCTGGGATACCTCCAGTATTCTGGAAAATCTCTGCAGTCCAGACATAGCCCTACACAGCAAGCCCATTATTTTGAAATAATTTTGAAATAATGGGCTTCTTACTCCAACTTCTGTAACCCTTATTTCATGAGCAATGGAAGTCGAAGAAAGAGCATTCTTCTTTTGACTTCCTGCTGTGTAGGCAGCGCCAAAAGTTGAGTTAAGGTACTTTGAGTTCAGCTATGCAATTAACATAGCTGAAGTTGTGTATCTTAACTCGACTTTAGCCTGCAATATGGATGTATCCTGAGTTCTAATAGTGATGCCCTGAATATTGTGTTGGGAACTTTTTTGGGGGGAGGAAGGTCCTTTCAAAATTCAACAAAATATTTAAGGCTTAAATTTAACTCATCTATGTTTTCCATCTCAAGTCACATTTTATATTTTTCAGAATTTCAAAAAGCTGAGCCAACACACTGTTTTTCTATCTAGGGCAGAGTTGTTTACATGTGCAAAACCAACTGTGCTTTAAAATATTAGTATCTTGTTGGTCAGTATGTACCCAAATCTCAGTTCCTGCAACATGTATACACGAGGAGAGGAGGGGAACAACCACTCTTCTATTTGTTATTTGAACTCTTCTAACAGACTGAATGAGGAGTGACCTTTTCTAAACATTTATAATCAGAATGTCATTTTAGCAGCAGTGCTTTGGTGTTTGTGTGGATAAAAACGATTAAAAAGATGATAAGCAACAATGGCCACACAATTCAGCTCCTGACTACTGATCTCCATGTTTGCCGCCAGTTGTGCACCTCCTTTCTTCCCTGAGCTAATACCCATAAAATGATACTTGAAGCCTCACTATGTAATTTAAAACCAGCTTTTTCTATTGCTGAAACTAGAGGAAACCATTCTGAGTAAGGAAAATAGAATGGGGATTAAAATGGCCTATTTCACAGCAAGCCTTAGAATTTTCTTATCTGTCTATGATAGTATTCACCCAAAACTGAAGCAGAGGCAACTACAATATACATGATTATATTACAATAAAAAGAAGGGTCAGCCTGAAAATATAGGTGAGCATTAACTAGATAGTGTGTTGGGAAAACATGCAAACTTTACAGACTAATTTTCAAAAGAGAGAGCACACCTAAGAGAATGTTCTTTAGTTCCATGAAGCCCCCTGCTGTTAGAAAAGAGGAACTGTGCTTCTTGAGCTATGCATAGTTGTCCACACTGCACAAAGCTTGGTAAGGTTCCTGCTCCGAATCTAGTATAATTCATATGTAGTCCCAGGCTCACATCACTTCTTTTTTATTGATACATTTATTTCAACTACTTTCCTTTCAAAAGGGACAAAAGTCTTCAAGATGGTTAGAAGATACTGACCACTTATAACTCCATCAAAATCAATGTGGGGGGTCCATCATCTCATAGGATTTGGCCCAAATTAATTATACTGCTTATTTTTATATATACACAGAGTGAGCTTCTTTATTCTCTCCTATAAACACAAGAGTTTGAAAGATGCACAGTACATTGTGGTAGAATCAAAGGCAAGTTTAATTTTTATAACAATGATGAAAAAATGAAGGAAAAATAGGATAATCATTACACACAAGTTCTCTTTTTTACATAGCTGTAAAAAGGTTGCCTTCTTGAAGACTGAGTTTTTCTTAGAGAGAAAATACACGTTACCAGCACATCAAAAATCAATAAATATTCAAATAGATATATGTACAAAACAAACAAAAATTCAGGGATGTGACTTTTAATGAATTCCAAAACATTTTAGACACATTTGTAATGTACTTATGTTTGTGGTAAAGCATATACATGCAATATTGACTGAGATTTGTGTCTTGAGTCCATACCATGAGTAAGTATAGATTTAAAATTGTGCTGTATGCAAATATTATACTAACGGAATAAATTCAGCAACCCTGAAATCATAAGGTTTACATGTAATGAGTAATAAGAGAAACACAAGCCACAAAATGGAGTTATTGTAAGGTTGTAATCTTCAGCATTTTGTTTTGATGATACAGTACCCAATGCTGTTAAATTACATTTTTTTCCTTCCAGTAAACAAAAGTTAATGATTGTGATCAAAGTCTAATAATGGCACAAAACCTAATTATCTATTTATAAAAAGCAGTCATATTCAAATTCAGTTATGTTTTCAACTGCTTCCTTAAACTCTGCCAAGAAGACAAACATACCCACACAAGTGCAAGCCATAAAGGCATGTCAGGCTTAGATAAAATTGTTTCCTTACTTCAACAATGGAATTTGGTTCCTAAACTGCCATTCATCTCCATCTCCAGACTCATTTCTCACTGATGACTATGGGAACTGATTGCTACGGATGATATTAAATAGGATACAACAAACATTCTGTTGTTATGTAATCACTGATAGCCATTCAAGGACATGGGGAAGGACACTAAGAAGGATCAGCACACATACAGGCTAATAAGTCATGGAGCATCGATTGTTATAGACAAGTACTGAAAGACAGATATTCCTTGGGGACTATGCTTTGGCAATTTCACATCCACAGTGTTTGGTGGGGATCATTTTCTCCCCAAATACAGTGTTCCAACCAGACCCATGATTAAGAGCCAAATGCATTAAATATGCATTTTCACTTTATAAGTTCATATTTAACCACTCAATATATTTATTTGCAACTCTGTGTCCTAGAGCTAAATGAGTTGGGCTTGTAATAAACATTAGAACCCCATGAATTGCTCCCTCAATGTGGTCATGTATTACTTCAATTCCTGCTTCTCTAAGTCGTGAGACATACATGAGTCCATCATCTCTCAAGACATCATGTTGACATGTGAGGACATATGTCATAGGTAAGCCAAGTAACTTGGTGTCATCAGCCAAGAGTGGTGCTGCTCTTGGATCCAGAAATCCTGGATATTTTTTTCCAAACCTGGAACTTCCATACTTTGGGCCCACATAAACATGATCCTTTTTAAATTCTTCAGGCAGCAAATTACTCCAGTTTACAAGCCTAAACAAATGGCTTGATTCTGCAGGGACATGCCTATTGGAAGCCATTGCTTCTTTGAGAGAGATGTCAGTAGTAAAGTATTCACTCCAGAATCTGACCATCAATGACCTGGGTAGAATCGGCTTGTTCTCATTATCTCTATAGGATGGCGAATCCAGATCAAGGGTCTGAAGAGCAGGGTAAAGTAAGACTTGGATCTTAAGTTTAACTTTAACTTCAAGGTCCTCTAGCAGCTGTAAAAAATTAAAATATTTACATAATCAAAGGTTTCAGTTTCCCGACAATGAGTGAAGATCCTACAATAAATGGAATTAATATGTTTATTTTACAGTATAAGCAAAATAAAGTAAAACATAACAGATTACTTAAAAAAAACCTTTTAGTTCATAGGAAGGTCACTAAGACAACATTGTTGTATAAAAGCCCTGAGCAGAATCCTGAATGATATTAACTGTTTTGCCCTATAAAGTGCTAAGTGAAGAAATGGCTCCATATTGTTTCTTACTCTGAATGAAAATAATACATCTGAAAATGTTCTTCTTTAAAGGGCATTAATTGGAAGTCACTGGTGCATTTCTAATGAGCAAAAAATGCTATTTTGTAATATTCATGATTTATGAAGCATAGATTTTTTTGAGACTTCATTAATTATTTTGCACTACATAAACTGTATCCACTTGTCTTATTAAATCCGAGGAGAGATTTAGAGTATAATAATTGAGCTTTCATGCATCCTTAACGCATGAAGAACAAAATGAGAGTACATGAAATAAATTCAACATCATGGTTGCTTAAAATGTCATGCTAGCCTTCACCCAGCTGTACTGACCACCATGAACATGGAACACTTCCAAAGCAGCAACATTACAAAATACAAGTTTTTCCCAGAGCAGACATCCTTCGGTACAGATTGAGTGTCTTAACTAAACAGAACAACCTGCTTACAAAACTGTATTAACACTGATCAGTTGCTCACATTTAATCACCTTTTGGAATAGCACTTTAATCAAAATAGACCAAATTCTGCATTTTTTTTAAATCCCTTTTATATGGACTTTCACCTGAGAAATGGCTGCATGACTTGACACTAATTATTATTTTATGAAGTAGAGCTTTTTTCTGAAGGAGTATGCAGATTTAGAAAGTGCCCCCCAAACATGTTCTGACATCTGCTGCAGAGTTTTATCAGGAACTGCTATAGTGTTACTAAGTAGAAGCATCACTAATAACAACTAAAGTATATTGTGTGCTGCAGCAGTTTGTTCAATCTGAGACATTAAAACCACATTCACCAACCTGAGAACTGATGTTTTCTCTCTACGCACTTACAGCCGCTCACTGACACCAGCATAAATGTAGATGAAAAATAATTGGGAGGCACATTTTTCTTTAATGAACAGAGATATTTGCGTGCGGTGTTGCTGAATTACCCTGGTAAGAAAAATGAGTAGAACAAACTCTCTAGACCTGTAAAATATAAGCCACATACCTTCTGTGCCACTGCTGCGGCCAAGTTACCTCCTGCACTATCTCCTGAAACACAGATCCGATGTGGGTCCACCCCATATTGTGCAAGAACACTGTTTTGTAGAAAAAACTTCACTACAGTATACACGTCTTCAAACTGAACTGGAAAATGATACTTGGGTGCTAATCTATACCTGTGGGCAAGAAAAACAGGTATTATTTGGAGCTGCTTGACAAAACAAACATGTTTCAAAGTTGTTGATTTGTATGAACATTCACACATTATTTCAGTGGCAAAAAATTTCTGACACACAACTGTTTTTTCCAACCTGACAATTCTAGAAGGAAATATTGAGAAACAGCCATGTCACACTCAGAACGTAAGGGAATTAATGTGCATTTTCACAATCTATTGGAGTGCCCGTTGATTTAATATTAGTCTTACAAGACAATGTAATTACTGCATTGGCGTCTGGTGCATCAAGGCAATTTCCTATTGCAAAGAGGAGGCTATGAAAACAATAGAATCCTAGAAGTAGTCTTCAATTGATTGCATTATTGTGTTCTGCAGTTTTTCTGTAATTAGGCACCCATGCTCATCAATTATTTGCTCAGCATTGCAAATGGCTCTGTGATAGTCACATTTGGATAGTGATCTGAAAATAAAATCCATGTTTGACCTTTCATAATGAATTCCCAGTGGACAATCCTTTGAAAAAAAGACACACAGCTACATAACCATCCTGAGTAATTAGGCACGACAGCCTAACATCCAAAGCAGATTGCAGAGTTAAACAAAGGGATCTCACAAAACTGGGTGATGGGGAAATAAAATGGTAGATGAAATTCAGTGTTGATAAATGCCAAGTACAGCACATTGGAAAACATAATACCAACTACACATTCAGACTTCATCATTTTGTATTAGCTGTTACCTCTCAAGAAAGAGCTCTTGGTGTTATCATAGAACGTTCTCTGAAAACATCTGCTCAATCTGCAGAGGCAGTAAAAAAAAAGCTAATGGAATGTTTGGAACCATTAAGACGGGGATCAATAATAAGACAAAAAATATCAGAAGGCCATTACACAAAGCCATGATACACCTACACACTGAATAGTGCATGAAGTTTTTGTAACTTCAGCTGAGCAAACACATATTAGAATTAGAAAAAGTACAATAAGAATGATTTAAAAAACAACAAATAGTCTAGTAGCACCTTAAAGACTAACAAAACATTTAGATTTTATCATGAGCTTTCGTGGGCTCAACCCACTTATTCAGATGACAGGAGTGTTGGAAGTCCAAGAATAAATAAGGGAAGGAGAGGGGGAGAGAAAGAGGGAGAGGAAAAAATGGAGGAGGAGAAGAAAAAAATGAGACTGTGAGTAGATAGCCGAGTTAGCCTGTAACAGGAAAAACTTAAAAAACAACAAATAGTCTAGTAGCACCTTAAAGACTGAATGCAGTGGTGGGTTCCTGGGTTCCTGGATGAACTGTATAGAATCTGGTGTTGGTCATCTTCCTTTCCAAGTGCAAACTAATGGTTCTTATGAGCCTCTTGTAACTATTTAGTCTTTAAGGTGCTATTAGACTATTTGTTGTTTTTTAAGGTTTTCCTGATACAGACTAACTCGGCTACCCCTCTGAAGTTTTAGAATAAGAAAGAGAGTTTAAAAAGACTGGCACTTTTCGGCTTGGAAAAGTGAACTAAGGAGGGATATGATTGAGGTCTATAAAATAATGAATGGTGTGGAGAAGGTGAAATGGTTATTTACCCCTTCACATAGCAGAAGAACCAGAAGTCAGTCAATGAAATTAATAGACAGCAGGTTTAAAGGAAAGGTAAGTACTGCTTCACACAGTGGCTAGTCAACTCGTGGAACTTATTGCCAGGGAATTTTCTGAAGGCCAAGAGTATAACTGAATAAAAAAAGAGAATTAGTTGAGTTCATTGAAAATAGGGCCATCAATGGCTCGTTGCCAAAATGGTCAGGGATAGAAATCCAAGCTGTGGGTATCCCTAAGCTTCTGACTGCCAGATGGAGGGTCTGGATAACATGGGATGGTTCATGTGATAATTTCCCTGTTTTATGGCACTGTTGGAAAGTAGGAAAATTAGCTAGATGGACTATTGATCTGATCGGGCATGTCCGTTCTTAAGCTTTATAGTACAGACCATAGTTATAAGGGATGTTCACTGCCAGAAAGCAGGAGTGGGATACTGCCATGCTCAGAGCTATTACAGAGGCACAGGGCCTCCACACAAATGGCACTGGCCACTTGCAGATTTCTTGGGGTCCATATGAACACATGGGGATCTTCCAAGTTTTACAGTGGCCACTGCAATCTTTTCTTGGGGAGGGAAATGTCATATGCCATCCCCCTACAAGAGTGGAATATGCAGTGGGGAGGGACTCTAAGAAGAGCATGGAAACTTCCTTCCTCTGCAACCCTTTTCATGGACTTTTCTGTAGGAAGGAATGACCTGGTGTAGAGGTTTTTCTATTATGCCCAACACTCTAGCAATGGAGTGCTTGTTATAAAGCTCTTGCTTCAAGGATGTAGAATTCAACTATAAAAATCTATTCCTGAGTGAACTAGCATGATGAGGTGTGGATACCCCACATTAGGCCAGAAGTCATTAATACCACACTGTACACACACACACACACACACGGCCATACTGGACATACTCGAAGTGCTGTGCCAGTATAAAAGGGAACAGCTCATCTCAGTCAGGGGCAGAAGGGAAACTGAAGAGGAAGGATCTGTGGTGGAAAACTAGCCACAGCCCCTGCTGGTGGAAACTGGAGACCCAGAGGAACAAAATAGTCTTCTATGGCCAATGGAGCCCCAGGGAAAGACTTGTGCTGAGGAACCTGGAAACCCTGAGGCTTCATGGACTGCCAGACCGCAGACTATGATAGGGAGTGACCCAGGGAGGGTGTGGTATCTCCCAGATGGGTGAGATGATTATGTTTTGGTGGGATTCCCCACTGAGCCAGTGGCAGAGTCTGCCATCACGGCTACAGTTCTGGGTCAGGACCCGGTGGAGTTGGGTGGGCCCAGGTTCCTCTCCCTGGGCCTTCGGCCCCCTATTGGTGGCCCCTATGGTATTGGCCATTAGGTCATGCTGCCCTGTACCGAGAGGCCACCCTAATAGGCTCTGGCTGCCAGACCACCCTGCCCTGGATACTAGGGCTATTGCCTTCACTCTAGGCCTTGGACCTCTGGGTTGTGAGGTTACAGACTAACAGACTTGACCACGGTGCCCACACACCCATTAGCCATCCCATGATAGGACCGGGTGTGCACACACCACTACAACTAGTTTATAATGAAGAATCCTAATTTTCTAAATAAAATCAAACTGTATATTTCAAAGTTATAAAAATGTAAAAATTGAAATATGAAAAAAGACACAGGGCAGCTTCAGGCACCGTTTAAAAGATGCGAAATATGGCTTCCAATCTGTAGATGATTTTTCACTATTTCATATATGTCTCTTAAAAGTAGACCCACTCTTTTTAATAGATCAATACAGAATTATATAAAATATTGCCCTAATAATTGAAAACCAGCTTCTCTCACCATCTCCTAGAGTGGCCAGGTGCCCAGTTTTTGAGCAGAAAGTAAGTTGAAAAGGGAACCTGACAGTGTCCCATCATCTCTATTGACTGGACACTCAAAGTCCAGTTATTGTGGGTGAAGAAAGTGGAGAAGCACTGGGTTACCACCTGTACCAGTTCCTACTCAACTGGGGCTGCCTCCTACCTGCATTGGGCAGCTGCAGCTTCCGGCCTCAGACCCACAGGTGAGTCCCACCCGACCCAGGCAGAATGGTTAGAGGTGTAACAATATGGTTTTTCTATTGCCATATTGGAAAGCCTAAATCCTTCCTCTGCAGCCAGACTGAAGAGCAGCAGCCATTAGCTGTAAAGCGTGGGGGTCACATACTCACATTCCATCTAAATTGCATTACAATAGTGTCATACCAGACTGTTCAGAAGGAGATTCCATCCTAATGGCAACCAATATACCCGGTAAAGAAACAGATCTCAAGATGGGTAAAGAAAACTTAGTTTAACAGCATTTTGTCTGGCAAGAAACTGTTTATCAATAGTTGAGGTTGCAGAACCCTCGTTCTATGATTATGGTCCTCACTTTCCTATTGTTTGGCTGTGTGGTCTCTGTCTGTTTTTTAATTGTTTCTGTTTGTTATATAATTAATTTTGCTAGGTGTCAATCAACTAAGGTGGAGGGTATGATTGGTTAGGTAGATCTGTTACAATATGTTACAACTGGTTAGTAAAATTAGAGTAAAATAATTGGTTAAGGTAGCTAACCAGGACTCAAGTTTTGAGACCAGGGGGAAAGAGGAAAGGAAAAAGGAAGAAAGAAACAGAAAGAAGAAGAAGAAGGGGGAAAGACTTGGAAGAAAGGACTCACCTCCAAGACCCAGCCTAAGATCAGAGCTGCCAGGACTCCTCTGCATGACTGAGATGTGCAGCAGCCAGGATCAGATGAGAGTGACCTTGCCTGGTCAACAGGGGAAGTTGCCTGTTTATCAGGATTGGTGAGCATGGCACTGTATGTAGCATGTATATTCTGCTTGCTTGGCAATTGTCAATAGAGAGTAAGGATATTACTGTGTAAGGTTCTTTCAATGGTAAAAGATCCTGAAGACATGCAGGAAGTTATGCCCTAAGCACTAGGAATTGGGTAAGGGTGGGTGTGTAAATTAACAGGGTTGCACCTTGAGCCCTAGGAGGTGGGTAAAGGTGTGTGTCCCTAAAGTGTGGAAGCGATAAAGAAATATGTGCGGGTAACAGGTGGGAATAGAAAAGCAGAGAATGACAAGGGGAAGAGCAGTGGACAGGGGCAAGGTCTGGGGGGAAGAGGTGGGGCTAGGGAAGTTCTGGCATTTCTGGTTTAGTGTCCAGTTTTTAAAAATATTACCCCAAGTTGACAACCCTACTCCCCCATGCACAGACCAACCAAATTTAATTTCGCTTTGTAATGGCATTCTAAAGGTGTGGATTCCATGCAGGTCTTTTTACCATTTGACTGAGCTGCTTTGGATCAGTCCTCTGGAAGAAGAAGGAAAAGCATTCAGGAAGGGTGCTGCTCTTTACCACCCTAAATCATTCCCTGAAAATGAAGCTGTGGGTTCTGGCTCTAGCCTGTTCAGTTTTCTGCAAGGAAGTAGGGGCCTACTGTGAGAGAGGAAATAAAATGAGAGCAGTAGGGTTTATCCCTATCTAGGGCTGTGTCTAAACTACACCCCTCTGTCAGCAAAGGGATGTAAATGAAGCACTTTGAAAGTGCAAATGAAGCGGGGATTTAAATATCCTGTGTTTCATTTGCATAATCGCGCCATGGCGTTGTTTCGAACAAGCGCCATTTCAAAACTGAAACCATGGTTTAGATGCGATTTTTTCGACAACAGGGTGTGTTTTCAAAAGATCCGGTACTGATTATGCAAATGAAACATGGGATATTTACATCCCTGCTTCATTTGCACTTTCAGAGTGCTTCATTTACATCCCTCTGACAACAGAGGGGTGTAGTTTAGGCACAGTCTAGATACAGAGCAGAAATGTAGCTACCTAGGCCAGTGTTTCTCAAACTTTTTTTAAAAAGTACCACTTAATATATATATATAAGTACCCCCAGCCCTCCCACGCTAACCCAATGCACCCACCCCTCCCCCAGAGCCAGGCACTCCCAGCTCCCTCCTTACCCAGTGCCAGGCATATGGCAACCTTACCTTTGAAGTGTCTGCTCCCTCCACCTGGCCCTGCCTCAGCGGCTTGTCTGCAGGGAGCAAGTGGCCTGCCAGCACTGGGCTTGCCACCTGGGGGTGTGTGTTCCCAGCCTGGCGCCCCCCTGTGGCACCCCGGGGCAACTGCCCCCCCCCACCTGCTATGTCACTGATGCGGGGGGGGGGGGGGGAGGGTGTCCTTTGGAGCAATGCTTATTGTGCCACTTCACCGCCTTTTAGCTCCTCTCTGCGCCGCCTCAGGAGCTAAAACGGGCAATGGGGATGTGTTGTACTGGGCTGCTAGTGGGGGTGAGAGGTAATGCGCGTCTCCAGATCCAGCTGCCCTCCCTGTGGGAGCACACCAGGGAGGCTGCCAGAGAGGAAACAAACTAGGAGAGATGGCCGTGATTTTTTTTCCCTTCCTCTCCCTGCAATTTGGAACTGCCCCGAGTCTCACCGGAGCCGCCGCCGCTGCCATAGCAGCCACGCGCTTTTCCCACCAGTGCTGGGGCGTGTGTACAGAGCGGCTGTTAACATCTGGGGCACGGCTCTGAACATTCCATTTGACAGGCACATGCCACTGCCCCCTCCCCAACCCCTTTCATGGCAAAATCCCAGACATTTTTGGCCAAATTTCACTTGCGTTGACGTACCACCCAGACTTCTCTCACGTACCCTTAAGGGTACACGTACCACTGGTTGCGAAATACTGACCTAGGCTATGCCCCTCACAAAAGAATACCCATGCACCACCACAGGGACAATGTTCACTATTAAAATCTTTGCAATTTTGTTTGCAAGTAATTATCATTAACCACATAAAACACAAACCCCCAACACAAATATATAGGAAACAAAGGGCCATTTATCCCAACCCCTAAGTCAAGCTAGAAACAGAATCTCTCTTACTCGACTGATACAACAACAGCATTTAGCTTGCTTGCAGTCCATCTTGAGAGGAGGTCATAGGGCTCCATGGCTGAAATGAAATAAATCACTTGAAGCATATTTGATTGCACTTAAAAACAAATATGTAAACAGCCCCACTTGGCAGAAATCTGGTCCCTTTTCAAAATCTCCACAGTTCATTGCCTTCACAGCAGTGCAATTCAACTGCTGTACTTACAACTTTATCGAGAAGCACAAAGGAAATCTAATGATTCAACTCTTGCTTGAACCCATACAAGACAACATCCATGAAAGAACAATGCATTATTTAAACTCATGAAGGTGTAAGTTTTATGGTGGAGAAAAAAGGAATGAAAATGACACCATGGAGCAGATTTATCTTTCAGTCACATGCGTGCAATCATGCTGAAATTAAAGAGGTTGCATGTCTGTTAGAGAAGCAAATTTGTCTTAAGTCTCTGGCACACTAGCAGCCAGCTTCCCTAGTATAGGGAGCAATGCAATGCAATTTATATAGGGTCATTAGGAATTTAAGCCATAGATGCTTTGTTTGTGTTACCAGTACAGCTGTGGCTGCTTGTCCTAAAATGGTAATTTATAACAACTTATTAAGTTGTTAAAGTACATTAAGAAAAAAACAGAGAATGTGTGTGCTGAGGGAGAATATGACTGGGTATCATTCCAATTGAACAATACTATCAAAAGCACAGCACAAAAAATTAAATGTTTTTATAATGCCTTGTTGGAAATAACGTGGAAGAAGACAAAGTAAAAACAAGCAGGGAGATTGCCTCCTAAAGTACAAAACTTAACTGAAACAAAACTTTACATTCTTCCAGGAGAATGCACAGCATGTGAAATGCAGAGCTAATAGGAAAACATTCCTCTAAATGGTAGAGACCCTTTTAAATTACTTGTGAGCCTTGGATTTATTTATACAGCATAGCACCCCAAGGGAGCCATGACAGACAAAGAGAAATATAATTAATGCAGTGGTAACTGAAGAAGCAAGCTCAGCTAAAAATCTCTCTCTCTTTTTTATATATAACACATTTTCTCTGCCAGTGAAAACACAAGACAGACAGGGCCCTTGCTCTAATTTCTTAAAATGATCTCCTAATTCAGGCCTTTGCTACAGGCACAATCCTGAAAATTACCCTCAATGGTAAAATAAATGTGAAAAGTTAATGTGTAACTGCCTTCTCATGAAGAAAAGGGGAACCCCTCAGTGCACTGACTTGTTAGGAGGGTTTCCTAAGGAGGCATTTTGAATAAAGTACCTGCTTACAGGGGATATGGAGTAACAGACCTGACAACCTCAGCACTGCACTGTTTGATTTCTTCCAATTTTCTCTCTACGTTCATTTTTAAAAAACAAGGGGAATCTTAGGTTTGGGTCTGTCCTCTTTCTGTCAGAGAAAGGCAGGTGGTTGCTTTTTCTTTCCTCCTTTATAGACAGCAGAATCATGTGGAGTAGCATCTGGTAGTCAGAGCACCTCTATCTTCCATTCCTTTCCCTGGGTTGCGTTCTGGAGATATACCTATCCCATCTCATAGAACTGGAAGGCATCTTGGGAGGTCATCGAGTCCAGTCCCCTGCCCTCACGGCAGGACCAAGCATCATCCCTGGTTGTTTCTGCCTGGCTCTAAGATGCTGATGACTTGAGGATGCTTCTCTCCCCTGTCTTCAGCCCACTCTCATGGGTTAATTGTGAATGATAGGTGGATGCTCAAGAGAAACTCAGTTGTTCTCTTGTGACGGATGCTTCTTCTTCCCTGTGAGGCTCCATCATCTGTGATTAAGCCTCTGCGGGGCCTTTCCTCTTCTGGGACACATCTTCTTTCCCCATTTAGATGCTATTCTCCCTTCTGAGGAACCAGCCCACTCCTGTTCCTGCTCCTTTTGTTAGCATAACAAATCCATGTGCCACAGATAACATTTATATGATCTCATACACAGGAATGTGCAACTAGAACCTTTATTCTGCCCCTGTATCATCTGAGCTACAAGAGAACTACTGCAACTGTGATCAATAGCAGGTCCCTTTACTGTTTGTGTGGACCAGTGACTAGAAGGCAACATTCTTACTAAGGTGAGACCTTTTGGTACAAGGTTCTTGTCAGTGAAAAGAAGAATCTTGCATTTACCTGAGCCTCCCACACACCAGCCTCCACCGTGAATGTAAATCACTGCCCTTCTGAGCCCACTGGATTGCTTCTTGGGTATGAACAAACGGACTGGAACATTGTTGAATTTTGTGTCAGTGACTGTCATATTTTCATCTGATACTGGTGCGGTGTACTCCATACTTGTGATCATCATCAGAACTTCCATGTAGTGCATCAGACCTAGCCACTCAGTCAATTCAGCCTAAGATCAAAGGAAATAAAAATAATGTTTAACTCTAGTATCTTATGTATAGAGTGAACCATTCTGGTGCATTACATATTAAGTACAATAAAGGCCCTTCTTTTCTTTATTTAAATCAATAGTAGTTTTACCATTAACCTTTTTTCCACTAAGCTCATCCACTGGTGGTTGCCAATTTCCTGGCCAACTGTATCAGTTTGTAGCAAGTCATACTACCCACTGCCCATTATTTCCCCATCTCTTTTGTGTGCTCTGATCTGAAAAGGAACTTAGGAGCTTCCAAAACCCGGCTTTGTATCTGAATGGAATGTGAGCAGAGGGAGAACTCATCACTGATCTCATTGTAGTTCTGCTTAAAAACGGATTGACAAGTTTATTTAGCATATCAAGCACAAGTTTAACAACAATGGCGTGGATAGGGAATCCAGGGGCAGGTTTTTGGGTTGGGGTGAGGGTGGGTACATCATTTACATTATAGTGATATGAGCCCAGCGAGCTGATTACATGCCCTTATGCCACATTATATCATGTACCCCGTGGTAGTGACCCACGCATACAAAGAGCCCACATCTCTCAGCATACAAGTTGTGCTCCATATATTTAAGACAAACAAAGGGAAGTTTTTCTTCACTCAGTGCCAGTCAACCTGTGGAACTCCTTGCTAGAGGATGCATTTGTGGTTTTTAAAGTAAAAGGTTCAGAAATGTGGCTAGCCCCAAGGAGGCGCAGAAACAGGCAAACTATTACTAAATATCTTTTAAACTTTTATTAAAGGGCATGTACGTATAAATTATTGTTTTATCAATTTCTTACATACGTAGGCACCAAGTAATTATTAGAATGACCAATAAGCAAAATGCAATACAGTAAAGAAAATTCCTTGAGGTTTCTCTAAATCCCAATAGTGGTTAACAAGGGACTAGGGATTATTAACAGTTACATTTACATCAGTCTTACTTATAAGACTAATCATTTATCTAAAACTTTTAACACTACTACTTAACAATACTTACATTTAACAGACACAAACTACAACAACAACAACATATTTGGTATTCGTTATGTTTGGTATATGTTACGCTCTACAGGAACTCATTTGGTTCAGTGAGCGGGAGGTGGCCCTCGGGTGATCAGTCCTCGGACCTGGCTCATATTCTGCCTTCCAATGTTTATTCGGGATTCCTCAGTTTGATACAGGAAGGGAAGCTGTTTTATAGAGAAAGCTTTTGCGTGCTTTTTGAGATAGGCTAGCAGACCCTGTCTGTTAAGTGACAGGAGAAAGGGGGTGAGATGGTTTCCTGTTTTTCCTTTTCTGCCTTATCGGGCATGGCACAGTCAGCACAACCAGCACGAACTTTACATGAACTCTTTAGGTCTGGTTTTGGTTCCTGTTCCTCTCTGATCTTTAAGTTACATAGTGTAAGGGTTTTTCATCAAAAGTTGACCTTTTGCTTGGTGGCAATATGCACGAGGGGCCTGGCCAGCAAAGAGCCTGCTTTCACAACAGTAAAGGCTAGAACTTTAACAGGGTTCAAAAAAGAGCTAGATAGATTCATGGAGGTTAGGTCCATCGATGGCTATTAGCCAGGATGGGTAGGAATGGTGTCTCTAGCCTCTGTTTCTCTGGAGGTAGGTGACATGGGAGGGACCACATAAGGTTTACCTGTTGTGATCCCTCCCTCTGGGGCATCTGGTATTGGCCACTGTCGGCAGACAGGATACTAGGATAGATGGACCTTTGGTCTGACCCCGTATGGTCGTTCTTATGTTCTTATATGGCTAGTGAAGAACATGTAAATTCTGGTGGATGATGGAAGGGAAGGTGGGGAGTTAGAGCAGGTGGTGTGTTGAGATACCCATAAAACATATAGGAGTGTGTGTTACCCCAGATGTAGGTAATTGGCTGTTTATAGTAGCCCAGAATATATTTATTAGTGAGAGCGCTTTCCCTAAGGGGTAGGCATACTGTTTTAGTAACCTAGGTTATACTATTAGGGTGAGTGTGGAAGGAAATTAGGGAGGAAGTAAATATGAGAATGCTTGGGGGATGAAGGCGGGGTTTCTGTGAAGCCTACAGCTTGTCAGGGTTTCTGTGAAGCCTACAGCCATTATGGGGTAGACCTGGTGGTGCCCCTGGTCGTGTCCTGCTAAGGTGGGTGGTTTATAGAGTCACAAAGTCTATTATCATGGGGAAAGACCAATGCTTTCCCAGGTCGTCTGCATCCCTCGGCATCCTCTTCTTCTGCATACTCATCCTCTTTCTCTTTCCAGTTTTGAGGTGCACCTTTCGAGGGGGACACACATCTCTGGGGGGGAAATAGGTAAGGTGCCCCCAGAGTGCCCTGGCCAAGTCCCCCACAGTGAGTGGCAGTGACTCAGTCCATGAGGGGGGAGGGAAAAAGGGGAAAAAGAGAAACCCCCCCCTGTCCCTCGGAGTTCTCTTCTGCAGCATCCTTTTCCTCTTTTCATCTTTGGCCACAGCTGTTGGGGGAACATAGCCTTCCAGGTGGGGAAGGTGGGTGAGATACCCCTGGATTTGCCCATGCCATGCCCCCAACAGTGGGTGAGAGTAACTCAGTACCATGGTTATCATCAAAATCATAGTTCAAACTCATGGTCACAATTCCAAAGACATAGTCCAGTCCCATAGTCACAGCCCAAAGTCCAAAGTCATAACATAGAGCCCAAAGTCAAAGTCCATACTCAGGCCTACAGTCTTCTGTGTCCCTTGGCGTCCTCTTCCTCCATGTCCTCTATTTTGTTTGTGAGACACACCTGATGGGGAAGGGTGACCTTTCTCGGGGAGATAGTGAGGAAAATGTAGCACAATATGGTACTGTATTTTAACTACACATATTATGTGTTCTATGCCAAAATTTCCTTCATACCTTCATATAGAATGCATAGCAACAAATAAAAAATAGCACGAGTCAATATAAAAACAAATCAATTGAGATTGGCCTTATATGCCAACAGGGACATGCTTGTCCCTCTCTGTAGCTGCAGAGAACACACCCAGAGAGACAAAAGGGAGAAAGGAAAAAACCCAAATTCCTTTCTCCCAGTTTGAAAGTCCCACCTACATTCCTACTGGTCACTCCACCTGGCTAGGTGTAGTTAAACCCTTAATCCCCAGGCTGCTGGCTAACCCTCATAATCATGACAACTGCTTTTTTAAAAACCTTCCTAGTAGTACTCTAAATAGCCCATTTCAGCATCTACGCTCATCTGTTTTTGTATTTGTTTATGATGACATCAGCTGCATACTAGTCAGCCATGCTTAGGCAAGCACTAAAATATCAGAGTAATGATTTATATATAACAAACATATATTTCCTGAAATCAATAGACTAAAGCTAGGTCTACACTTTTTTTTTTTTTTTTTTTTTTTTTTTTGCACAGAAGAGGATATGCAAATGGATGCTCATTTGCAGGGGAAAAAAACCTTTTTTCGCAAGATCCTGTAAACCTCGATTTTTGAGGAATAAGGGATCTTGTGAAAAAGGGTTGTTGTTTTTTTCTGATAAATGGCCCCATCTACATGGGACTTTTTATCGGCAAACCTCTTTTGCAAAAAGAATCGGAAGAAGATATGCAAATGAGCATGCCATTTTCATATCTTCTTCCACAAAAGAAAAAAAAAGAAAAAAAAGAAACGCAGTCTAGACATAGCCTGAGTAAGATTAAGTTTTTCCAAAGAGGCAAAAACAGGTCTCCATTTCAGAGGAGTCTGAATATGACAGAATGGCCTTACTATAGTGGAAGGCATATTTTAAATGAATACCCTGGTCTGCTCCTGGTAAGGTCAAACAACCTCATAAGATTCTCAGTAGAGTTCTGCAGGCCTGCTATTCAGTACCTATCTATGACAATTAGATGTTCCAAGCAGTACGTGGAAAACACATTCACAGTTTCTAAATAGTCCCTGATTATTTAAGAGGTAGACAACTGCCCCTAAATGGCGATAACATGACTGGTTTAAGATTTGGTGCTCAATATCAAGATAGCACAAGAATTAGAAAGACAGTTTGGATCAGATTCAAAGTCTACCTAGTGGAGTCCAATAGCCTATCTCTGACCATAGTCTGCACTCAGATTCATCAGAGGAAGGTGTCAAAAGTCACATTAGGCAGAAATGGGATAATCTGAGTCCATATTGCGGTCCTCTTTCTCCCTTACTGGTAGAAACAGTGTTAAACCCTGACATACATTTTGGAAGAGGTGTAAAAGTATTATAACACTGGATATGCTTCTTATTGGTATACATATCCAATCTCCCTTTGAATTTGCCATGGGTTTGCCCTCAGTGACATCTGCTGACAATGAGTGCCACAGTCTAATTTCATGCAGTGTGAAAAATATTGGTATTGAAGCTTTTAGCTTCCTTGAATTTCACATTTTATTCATATGTGAGAGAGTAATAACAGAAGCCCACAAAGCATCTTTTTCAGACCATTTGTTATTTTAGGCTATGTCGAGACTACATTCCTCTTTTGAAAGAGGCCTGTAAATGAAGCAAATTGAAAGTGCAAATGAAGCACGGATTTAAATATCCAGTGCTTCATTTGCATATTTGTGTCCGAGCGCTTTTTCAAAACGGGTTTTGTGAAAGTGAAATCTCAGTCTAGACGGGGTTCTTTAGGGGGGAAAAACCCCTTTTTCAAAAGAACCCATATTCCTGAAAACATGTGGAGTACGGGTTCTTTCAAAAAAGGGGTTGGTTTTTTTTTTTTTTTTTTAAAGAACCCTGTCTAAACAGCGCTTTCACTTTTGAAAAAACCTTTTTTGAAAACGCGCTCGGACACGAATATGCAAATGAAGTGATGGATATTTAAATCCACGCTTCATTTGTACTTTCGATTTGCTTCATTTACATTCCTCTTTTGAAAGAAACCTTTATGTTGGTCATAAATTCATATTTTACTTTATTTAAAATGAAGTTTGATAAATTAACACAAAAAAGTTAAAACACCTAATCCGTTTAATAATTTAAATTAAAC